TCCCCCTTCCTCCCTCCCCATACTTGCCCCTTCCTCCCCACCCCACTACCTCACGCTCCGAGTGACGTCTGTTCCCGCGCGCCACCCCCCCGCACTCCCCAAACCCCTTCAAACCCGCCCCCTCGCTCTGCCCAGGTCTGTGTTTAATTAAAAGGACTTCATTTCTTGAAAACAAAATTTATAGAGCTTTTCGATATATAGTTTATTATTAATAATAAAAATCGTTTTCGTCAATAGTCATAGATTTTAAGAAAAAAAAGTTTGCAAACACGAGAGAGAGAGAGAGAGAGAGAAAGAATGATCGAATAAATCTTTTCGTGTTGAGTGACCCGTTTGTTCCTCTCGTACCGTTTTACTCTTGGTCAAAGGTTTCCGTGAAACGCTTCAACCGGGGACTGCGAGTCTTTATGTCAAACTTTCCCCGGGCCTCGCCAACTCCAAAATTCCCAACCCAACACCGACCATCCAGGCTCAGATCAGACTCCAACTTGTCAAGAGGGCTGCAGAGGGCTCGATGGCCGAATGGCCTATTCCTGCTCCTACGTCCCTCGTTCTCAGGGACGAACGCCCTCGTTTCGTCGCTCAAGAGATGTGGGCGTCGCTGGGCTGGGCCCAGCAATCAATCGTCCCTGTCCCTAATTGCCACCACCTCCCGCTCCCCCCTTTCGGAAGGTTGGAGGTGAGCTGCCATCTTGAAACGCTGCAGGCCCGTGTGCTGTCGGGTAGATCCACAGCGTCCCTCTCAGGGAGGGGAATTCCAGGGATTCGGACCCAGCCACGCTGAAGGAACGGCCGATATATTTCCAAGTTGGGATGGGGAGTGGCTCGGAGGGGGGGGGGGGGGGGGGGGGGAGCTCACAGGGGGCTGGTGTTCCCATATATCTGCTGCCCCCCTCCACCTTGTCCTTCTAGATGGTAGAGGGGCAGTGCGGGGTTTGGAAGGAGCTGTCGGAGGAACCTCGGTGAGTCTCTGCAGGGCGTCACGTAGATGGTACACACTGCTGCGGCTGAGCGTCCGAGACTCCAATATTTGTCCTTCTGCCCAACGTCGCTCCAAACAGACGACCTGGTCCCCGTCACGTGGGCTCGTGAGATTCTGGAAGTTTCTCCCGTACCATCATGCACCACACGAGGAGACCCTTCAGCCTGTTGAGTCTGCGCCAACAAAATAACGACGGGATCGACACGATCCTGTTTCGTACGTGCCCCTTAAAACCGACCCTAAAAGTGACCCGAATACTTGGAGATCATTCCCACTGCCTCCCTACAGAGGCTCACTGGGGACGTATGTAATTTGGCATCAAAAAGGCTATATATAAATGAAAGTTTCCATCCAGGATGTGTCAGATTCTGGAATACTAGGCTGGTTGGGGTAGGTGGGTGGGTAGGGGTGAAGTCATGCTTCTGAGGCTCAATCGAAACCACCCCCCCCACCCACACCCCCCCAACCCACCACGGGGAACCTTGCTCAGCCCACGCCACCTCCCCTCGGAAAGGACACAGACCCTACCCCTTGTGTTCCCTCCAGAGGGTGGGATCAGAAAGCGAGCGATGGAAGTGAGGAGGCGGCCCTTAGATTGGGTACAGGTTAGAAAAAGCACTAACCCCGCGGACCCTGGCGATCGGAGACAAACACGGGGATCTCTAGAGGAACTCCGTGCGGAGAGACAGAAACAGAGTGAACGTTTCCCGCTCCACTCTGACCACTACCCTTCCCCCGCCCGCCCCCAACCCCGTTCACAACCGAACGGGGAGCTGGAATCGTGTTTCCGTTCGGGGGGGGAGGAGGAGGAGGAGGAGCGAGGGGGAACAGAGGGTGCGGAGGGAGAGGGCAGGGCCACCGGGAGTGTAAATGGTTATGTGAGTGTGAGAGAGAGATGGAATAACGGCTGTGGATCGAGGCGCGAACGGGAGAGAGAGAGATTCTCGTGACTAAGGACAAAGCGAACAAGACCCAAACAAGGCAAGGCCATGGTGGGGGTGGGGGTGGGGGTGGGGGTGATGGGGGGAGAACCGGACAAGTAGTAGGGGACAGAGTGGATGGTCGGATGGGTGGCAAAACATATACTCCGAAACCTTGCAGCCGAACCCTGGTGCCTCCCCTCACCGACCGTCATCGCCCGCTGGTCCAAGACCCGGCCAGAGTGGGCCCCGCTGGCTATAGCAGCGCACAGCCACCGCAGCCGAATAGCTCAGAGCAGTGGAGGAAGCCGGCGGTCCGGTTACCTGAAATCCAGTGTTCGGAGTGACGCATCACCGCCTAACCTCTCCCACCCCTGAGCCTGGGAGACCGAGAGTTCACCCAGAGTCGGGGATCACACAAAACAGGGATCTACAGGCTCACAATATGTGCGGTGCAGGGCCGACAGGGAGCTGGGTCAGACACAGAGTAAAACTCCCTCTACACTGTCCCCCCCCCCACCCATCTAACACTCCCAGGGACAGCACGGGGTTAGATACAGAGTAAAGCTCCCTCTACACTG